TTGGGGAGATTGTGGGTTGACTCCCATGGTTTTGCCAACCTGATATTTGGCATAATGGTAAGCATGTCCTCCCACTATTGGGGAGATTGTGGGTTGACTTCCATGGTTTTGCCAACCTGACAGTTGGCATAATGGTAAGCATGTCCTCTCGCCATCTGGGAGATTGTGGGTTGACTTCCATGGTTTGGCAACCTGATATTTGGCATAATGGTAAGCATGTCCTCCCACCATTTGGGAGATTGTGGGTTGACTCCAATGGTTTTGCCAACCTGATATTTGGCATAATGGTAAGCATGTCCTCCCACCATTTGGGAGATTGTGGGTTGACTCCAATGGTTTTGCCAACCTGATATTTGGCATAATGGTAAGCATGTCCTCCCACCATTTGGGAGATTGTTGGTTGACTCCCATGGTTTTGCCAACCTGATATTTGGCATAATGGTAAGCATGTCCTCCCACCATTTGGGAGATTGTTGGTTGACTCTCATGGTTTTGCCAACCTGATATTTGGCATAATAGTAAGCATGTTCTCCCACCATTTGGGAGATTGTGGGTTGACTTCCATGGTTTTGCCAACCTGATATTTGGCATAATGGTAAGTATGTCCTCCCACCATCTGGGAGATTGTGGGTTGACTCCAATGGTTTTGCCAACCTGATATTTGGCATAATGGTAAGCATGTCCTCCCACCATTTGGGAAATTGTGGGTTGACTCCAATGGTTTTGCCAACCTGATATTTGGGATAATGGTAAGCATGTCCTCCCACCATTGGGGAGATTGTGGGTTGACTCCCATGGTTTGGCCAACCTGATATTTGGCATAATGGTAAGCATGTTCTCCCACCATTTGGGAGATTGTGGGTTGACTCCCATGGTTTGGCCAACCTGATATTTGGCATAATGGTAAACATGTCCTCTCACCATTGGGGAGATTGTGGGTTGACTCCCATGGTTTTGCCAACCTGATATTTGGCATAATGGTAAGCATGTCCTCCCACCATTGAGGAGATTGTGGGTTGACTCAGAAGTACATACAGCCAGACCAGGCTTTCCAGGCTCAGGACATTCTCTGTTAGGAATATGGCATCTTTATTTATTTTATTTATTGCCATATATATAAATATTACATACGGGTATATTCAATTATTAAAAATTACAGAAATATAATATAATGCAGATATGGTTGGGAAGTAGAAGTTACTGTCAGTAACATTGTTAAGTTTGTCGAATCGACCTCCAAGATTTAATGAAGTAGCAGAAAATGTATACTGAGGGCGAAAACAATACGTAATTAATTGTAAAACTACAACTAATAATAATCATTTCTAGTGGGCAAAATGAAAACATCATATTTTTATATGGCATGGGATTATAGGTAAAAAAAAAGGTTATACATTATCATTTTAAATATGTTTGAAGGTGGAACAGTTGACAATAGATTTGATTTCAATCGGAATTGAATTCCACAACTTTGTACCACAATATGTAAGACAGAATTGACCAAAGTTTGTTTTCTTTAGAGGAATAGAAAACTGAAAGCAGACTGATAATTTGGGGGATGATTATGATTAGATAAAATAAATGAGTAATTTTGTAACTTACGAGAGTTTTGCTAAACATTAGGTCATGAATAAAAATGCCAAGTTGATATTTAAATTGGTCAAATATGTCAAAAAGGCAGAGAAAGTTTAGTAGTGGTCTACAGTGAGCCAATCTTTCTTTGAAATTGATTATGCGAACTCGCTTTATTTGTTGTATATACAGCGGATTGAGAGTAATGTAATACGTGCTGCCCCATCTAGTCTGAAAGAACATAAAACAGTCTGACCCTGTGTGCTCTTTTTGTCTGTACTGCAGTATTCTTGCCACAATGACTAGCAGATTACTATGGGATTATTGGGTCTTAGTATTTAAAGAAAATTGCCAAAGAGACTTACTACCTTATAGAAATAACGTACTATAATTTATAATAATTTCCATATCTAATACATTTGGATAGCCATTACTACATTGTAGCCTTTTCTAACCTTTCATTGATTGTCTTCCGATTTGTAATAATCAGTATTTACCATGATATCCATTCCCGTAATTTTCCATTTTTTTATCTGAAGTGTGTATCATAGAGTGTCATCTTCATCATTGACCCTTTCATCAGATACCAACTTAAACATATACCGGTATTATTATATTATAAGTGTGTATCATAGAGTGTCATCTTCATCATTGACCCTTTCATCAGATACCAACTTAAACATATACTGGTATTATTATATTATAAGTGTGTATCATAGAGTGTCATCTTCATCATTGACCCTTTCATCAGATACCAACTTAAACATATACCGGTATTATTATATTTGATAGAAATAATAAAAATGACAACAAAGGGGTTCTATAAATATCCGGATGGTGAGGAGTACAGTGGAGAATGGCTTGATGGTAAGTGCTATTCTTTTCTAAAAAATCTTGGTTGTCCAGCTGAACTATCACACTGTGAAATTGGTTGTTCATCGGAAAATTACAATTGTGCAATGAAGTTTTTTGTGATTTCCCCAGATTTCACAAATCTAATCTGTCAGGATCTTACTTTTCAAACAACTGTTTGTTTGAAAACTGCAAACTGCAAAGATGGTTTCTGCAAAATATAGGTTTTAGTTTCCATATATTGTTGCCTATGACAAAAGTAATTGTCTGGGACCACTCCAAGTTTGGACCTCTGTATCCTATTCTCAGTGTCCAGGACATGTGATTCACATGAATTTCTGGGAATACCAGTTTTTCGGTGCTAAATGCATTAACCCCTTCAAATGTCAACCCAGCTTTAGTATTTCCAGATTTGTTCACTTTAAACTAACTGACTTTTCATGGTGATCACAATAATCAGTGGGAGGTGTTCTGCATATAAAACTTAGTGGAAATGTAATTTTGAGGGAAATGATTTGTAATGATGATAATATATGTGCAACTATTATTGTCACCGAGTATTTAAAGTTGTATGCAAATTAAATAAGCCTGCGATGGAGGTGATGGCTAATAGATACTATCTCTGTTTTTGTAGGTAAGAGACATGGTATTGGTATGTTATCATTGGTTGATAGTTCCCAGTATGTTGGTGGATTTGAGGATGGTTTATGTAGTGGGCATGGTGTCATGACATTTCCTGATGGGTCAAGGTATGTATACCAAATGAAGCAAATATTTCAAAGAGATTCTGTTTTTTAGCTCCCGTGAAACGGAGCTTTTGTGATACCGGTGTCTGTGACTCTGTGACTCTGTGACTAAACTTTGTTCCGCTGATAACTCAAGATCTACAATTTCAATTCAAATGAAATTTGGCACACAGCTAATATATATGAGTAGATGCGCTGATTAGATTTTGGTGCAATTCCATGCATATTAATTAGTCAATTATTGCATTAATTAGTCCCCATTCAGACGCAGTGTCTGTATCTTAGAAATGCCTGGACCAATCACAATCAAACTTCACACATACATCATACATGATATTATACATATGCACCTCAATTTGTTTCACAATCTGATTCAAGATGGCTGAATGGCGGCCATTTTTGTGTTAAAAAATCCTAAAAATCAAGCATTTCTCGGCTATTTACAGATGGATTTTGTTCAAACTTGGTATATACATTAGACATTATAGGACCTTGATGCACATTGTTTTGTTTTACAATCTGATTCAAGATGGCCGAATGGCGGCCATTTTTGTGTTAAAAAAATCCTAAAAATCAAGCATTTCTCGGCTATTTACAGATGGATTTTGTTCAAACTTGGTATATACATTAGACATTATGGGACCTTGACGCAAATAATTTTGTTTTTCAGATAAGATTCAAAATGGCCGACTGGTGGCCATTTTGTTTTAATGAATGTGGTTCTCGTGCCATATCTCTGACTTCCTTTCACTGATTATGATCAAATTTTAAATATTCATTATACATCATGTCATAGATAGACAGATATATTGGTTTGATGATCCTATTCAAAATGGCCAAATGGTGGCCATTTTTGTGCTAAAAAATCATCAAATATCAAGCATTTCTGGCATTTATAGATGGATTTCGTTCAAACTTGGTACATACATTAGACATTACGGGTTCCTGATGCACGTCATTTTGTTTTTAAGATTGGATTCAAAATGGCTGTCTGGTGGCCATTTTGTTTTAATGATTGTGCTTCTAGAGCCATATCTCTGAAATGCTTTGACTGATTATATTCAAATTTTATATATTCGTTATACATCACGTTTTATATATACATGTATTCAAAATGGCTGATTTTGAATGCTGTTCCATGGCAATATCTTTCAATATGAACATGTACTTGTTTGACGATCAGATACAAATGTCAATTTCAATGTTAAAAAATCATATTCCTGACATGGTTATATTCCAGCCATATTACTATAAACAAAACTATATATCTTAAATTTGATAACTAACAGGGACTGTG